TTTATTTCATCTTGAGATGACATCCTACTTCTGGTTTTAGGATGGCTACCATTTCTGGATTAGGATGATCTAATCCACATTGCACTTTGTAACAAAGTCAACACCAAAGTCACTAAAATGCAATAACAATGAGTGAGCATTACAAAGAAGCAGAATGCACAACATAGATTACTCTATGCTTTATGGTTGTCACTTACTTCATGGCACTTCAGCATGACCCTCCTCTGACAACAGCAGTCATGACAGCAAATAAAAATGACAAAATGGAATGACTGAAACACTGCAGAAATTACTGACAAAGCAAGCAATCCTGTGAAATTGGCTGACAAACGGTTAACGACATGAAATGAATCTAATGGCAGAGCAGTAAAGTGAAAAATCAAGGCTTGGGGATTAGCCCACGTATTTCATCATCTGTGAAATCCAGACATCCTTTACAAAAAACCAAATGTAGGATCAATCCCTGTGCAGGTCTTGCTACTAAGTTCAGTTCTGCCTTACCTGTTTGTGAAAAGAACTTTTCCAGATATTCATGGAAAAAATTAATTTGGAGATGACCAAAACCACTGGCCATGGGAAGCATCACTTTTAAAACTTGTTATTCCAACACAGTACAGGTTATTTTTCCTAAAGGACTCAATTCTGCCTGGTTAAGCATCCTCCATAACTCCCACATTCATAATGAACATTTCCCACTACCAGGAGTGACGCCAACCTGCCCCAGAGGCCACAGGCACATTGTGCAAACACAGCCAGAGAAACACAAGCACCATTTGAAATAGAAATTGTTCCTCCCTTTGGCAAAGCCATCGATCATTTTGGTACAGTGCTGGTAGAGAGCAGCAGCAGTAGCTGTTCATTATTCCTTATTAGTACGCTGGAGCTGTGGAGGAAGGATGCTGTTTGCACTGGGGGCTGTGTTTTCTCTCCCCAGCAGCCACTGGGCCTATTCTGCGTTAATCACGCTGACATTATTCAGCTGATCCCAGCCCTGCACTTGATCATTACGTTGCTACGCGACCGCAGAGTTCACAGACAGAGCGAGCACTCCTCCCTTCACCTGACAAAAACCCTGCATTGCTCTTCCCTCCAATTCTTTTATCAGCTCCATATAGAAGTCAGTAGCCTCTCAAGTGAATTTATAGCACTGCTGTATTTATAGCATCACGATCGATACTACCACTACACAGCGCGTCCCCCTCGGCTGACGCTGACAGCAGAGCGTCACCTGCCAAGGCAGGGCTCTCCCTTGGGTCTTCCTCTCACTGCACGTGTGCATATCCAAATCTGGAAACAGGAAGCATGACCAGAGCTCATTACTGAGGCTTTAGTCCAGGGTATTTGGGTCCAACAGAGCCCCATACTCACAGACCCTCAGCCTCTCCTGTAAGGAATGATGAGCAAAACCAGAGGAAGTGATGGTCACATGTTGGGACTTGACTGCATGGATTGACCAGATGAAAATCTCTATGACCAGGGCTGATTGCCATAATTTCATAAAGGAAATGATGACCAGAATTGGGAGTGGAATCTGGAACTCTGCTCTTGAACCTTGTGATCAAACCCTTTCATCATGCTTTTAGTAGTACAAACCAAGCAAGTGCATTCTCTTGCTTCTTCCTCTTTTTCCTTCTCCTACCAGTCTCCTTTTCCCTATCCCACGGCTGGTCACTGCCACGGAGAAGCAGATGGTTTCCAGCCAAATGTATCCATGCTTTATTTAAAAACCTTGAAGCTTGGTGTCTCCATAAGAACAATGGCAAACTATAAATACACTGCCTCAAATTATTGCTAACCCAATGTACAGAGAACAGAAGCAAGTCTAGGGTTGTTTGGATGTAATAATTGAGTAGTGCTGCTCAGTACTGTAGAATGATCTCTTCCTAATCCTCATTTATCAAAACCAAAGGAGTTTCTGTAGCAAGCCATTACCCAACCATCTACAGTTTAATTCATCCCTGTGATAATGGGGCAATTGCTGGGAGTGAACTACATCTGTACTGGCTGTGCAAAAGGCATTTCTAGTGATATTTAGGCTCCCACTCTGGGCTATAACTTCATGCATGGCCCAAGAATCAAATACATATTTTTAAATTCATCAGGCTGCTGGTGCTGTGAACATCACCCAAGTGAGCCTGTGAACATTGTTCCTATTTATAACACTTCCCAATCCTTCTCTTTGGCTGAAGGACAGGAACAGGCATATTCATTTTTTATCACTTTTCCTTCAGCAGAGCTAACAAGTTGCTCTTTAATTTAGCAGAATCTCTGCTTTCCTGAGCTAAAATTCCTTTTCTCCCTTTCCAATGCTACCTCACAGGAAAGGGCTACAAGCTCTTCAAGTGCTTATCATAGGCTTTATAGTATTAAGAAAAAATCCCAAGAAACTCCAGGAATTTTACCTTTAAAATTTAAATATTAGCTTTTATGCTTGACATTTTCACAAGATGGTATTCCCTGGTCATAATATTTGACAGCTTTGTAAAAAATTTTGTCAGTTGTGCAATCGGGCTGGGAGAGCTGTAATTTATTTAACTTCTAAAGTGATAAGGCAGGAGAAAAAGCAGTAAAATAAATAAATAAATAAAGCATTTACCATGTATCCATCACTTGTATTTTCTTGAGGTTTGCTCAGGGAGTGGAGAGCAGCCAGGAGCCAGGCTGGGGTGAGTTAAACCCTGGGCTTCTGAATCTACATGTGAACTTCTCCATTTACATCTCTCTACCTTACTCTTGTGGAGATGAAAAGGAATTGCCTGCAGTGCCTCTGAAAACATACTCTTAATATCTGTAGATAGCTGGTTCTCTTCTGCTGGTTCCAATTTATTACTTCACTTAAAAAAGAAATCCTGAAAAACCTTTTCTGATTGTTTTAGCATCTTCAGTTCATCTCATAGTTAAAAAATAATGCATTCACATCAGTTCTGAAAACAGAAGGAAACAAAGCACAGCCCTCTTACCTCCTGTTCCCACTGGGAATTTTGTGGAGGTGTCATTTTCTCCCACAGTCAAATGGCAGCCAAGAGCTTTGCTGCTCTATGCCATTGCCAACTTATCCTATTTATTCCCTCAAAGCTCTTTTGGCATTGGATCCTCTCTCTAGTTTCCAAAGATGCCTCTTTGGGTTTACTTTTCAGGAAAGAAATAGGATTTCAGCCACATTAATAATGCTTTGGGTGGTTTTGTTTCCAAATTGAGCCTCTGTATTCCATAATGAAGACACAGTAATTTGCCAAAGCTGAGTTAAAAGAATCAAAAATGCTCAAGGACAGAAAAGCAACTAAACTTTGGAACACTGTCCAAGACAGGTCTTTCTCTAAAATGTAACTACTCTTGCTTATGTGATGCTTTGCTTTTTTCCCAGCAGTTTTTCAATTTATTTTTCTCAGCCTTTATAGCTCTTAAAATGTCTTTTCACAAAAAAAAAAAAGTATCCCTATTTACTTCTACTTTTCATTTTCCTCTCAGTAACGATAATACTGTGACATATTTACAGTACACTGTAGTTGGTAGCCTCAGCTATTTTCCAATAAAATAGGGATCCTAAAGATCTCTGCTGTCACCTGGAAATAACTATAAGTTTAAATATAAAAGAAGATAAATAATATTATACTAACTATCAAGGTCTAGCAAAAATAGTATTCTTTTTTTTCCCCTGTATAAATACTTTTCCTGTACAGCCAACTCAATTTCTGCTCTGTTTAGTCAAGTGCCACTGACAAGAATTCCAGAATTTCAGTGGTTTTCTTCCATTTCTTCATCCTAAAAATTGTATTACCTCCCTGTCACCAGTTTGATGACTTCCACCTTGCAGGAAATAATATAACTCCTTGAGGCTGAGGCTGTTGATCACACTGTTTTCAGAATCAGCATTCGTTTGCAGTCAACAGAGCCACCCTTCCCTTAAAAACAAATTTGCTTCATGCATGCAAAGTACAGAAGCTTCTCCAAGGCTGAGTTACTTATTAACCAGCAGAATAATTCTAATAAAATTTACTTAGGTAGTATCTTTGTAAAAAAACAAACCTAGCACTGCATTTCTGTGGAGCAATCTGGGCTAAACAATCTGCAGTATTTCAGTAAAAAGTGCATTTAATTGCTGCATGTCAAGCCAAACCATTCCACACCACAAAGAGAAACATCTCAGTCTCTTAGAAAAAGGAACAAAATTACCTTTTTTTTTTCATAACTGTGGATTTCATGATATTATATCCACATTGCACAGAAATGTGACCGCACAATTACTTGTACATTCACCCAATGGTGTCTGACTATTGTCTGTTACTTCTCTCTCAAGTACCTTTCAGAAAACACTTAAATTTGAACTCACTGCCCTGCCAGGGATGCTGCTGTTGGGAGAAAGAAGAAACTTCCTTGAACCTGTGAACATCAGAAACTATTCACTAACCAGTGCATGCAAGAGAAAGACAGAACTTAAACCCCATAATACTAAGGGGCAGAGATACTAAATTAACTTCTTAGCAACAACATGAACAGCACAAAGTGATTTCAATGAGTAATTTTCTACAACAGCCTTGATAAAGTGGATTATGAGAGGTCTCAGTGTGAAACAAATGACACCACACAGTGAACGTGAAGCAACGCTAGGCAAAACCACTTTTTACCTGTTTGAAGGCAAAATATCTTATGGGACTGAAGAAAAATTAAATTATCACCAGAATTTAAAATGAAAAAAAAATGAAAGAAAAATACTGCTTAAAAATAAATCTAGGTAACTCACATCAAAACAACTGAAAGGTTTGTGCAAATTGTCTTACAAGTTGGAGAAGACTGAAAAAGTTCCTGTCCTATGGTTAGGGCCACACAAACATGGAGAATGTAAGAAACTCTTGTTTGACATAGACTACTCATTAAGGAGACATCTAGAATGGAGTACACTCTTCTTCACTCTACATTATTAACAGGGGAAGTTAGTGAAGGGATGGCAAAAAAAAAAAATCAAGCCTTTATCAGAAAATTATGTGGTTAATTACTTTTACCTTGTACTGAGACTTGCAGTTTTCGTTCCAGTCGGTGACTCCAATCCTTCCCCTGGCTTTGAGGATTTCTCTCTGTTCATTTGCTGGAGTATTGAGTTCAATTCACTAATCACATTAGCCTTTGGGCCTGAGAGAATTGGGCTTTTCACCTCCGGCACATCACCCCATAGCTTAGATGTCCTTTGGGGAACAACCTTAGCCATGTTGGGCTGCACACTGATCGGGGGAGGGGGCGGAGCGGGAGGAGGGATAACAAAGCTGTCTACAGTTTCTTCGATCAGCGCGTCCTTGTAAAGTGCATTGCTTTTGTTGATTATGGGCTTCATTTTTGGCTTAGGAGGTACTGGGGGTTTGTCCACCAGAAATGTTTGCCCATCTGCATAGACTGTACAAGTATCCACGTTCTCCCCCCCTTCCGAGGATAAGGTAGAGATGCTGGACACTGTTGAGATAGTGCTGGTTGTCTCTAAGTGATGGTCACTACTACTTCGACTGTCTACCTCCTCAATCCCAGAGTCAGTGACGTTATCAAAGCTGTCAGGGGGTGGCAGAAAGGAGGCAGGCAAACAGTTTGAAAGACCCACTTGCTTTTTACTGTCTAAGGAATTTGTTGGCTGGCTGGGGGCGAATGGTGCGGGTGCAGGTGTGCCATTTTTCCTTTGCGTAATCAAGTCTGTCAGAGCCGAGCCGGGAGCTGCGCGATCGTCGGGGATGTCAAAGCTGTTGGCGAACTCTAAGGGAGGGGGAAGTGGCTCAGTGAACATAAACTCTTCATCGATGTCGACTGAGGCTAGGGGTGGTGGAGGGATGCGGAACGGCAAGATGACAGGGTCGTCCACGGAGCTCGCCGAGACGATGGTTTTGGCGGGAGATGCCGGTGGCTCGGTTGCAGCAGGTACGTTCAGCTCACCTTCTGCCTCCTCACTCCCCTCTGGCCTCTCTGGTGGGGAGTTTTCAGGGCTCGGTTCCATTTCAGCTTCCTTTTCCTCTTCATCATCGGGCGTATCATCTGACTTCGCTGTGTCCACAGTATGAACCATCAACAAGCCAGCTGACTTCTGCTGCGAGGTATCCACGATGTTTATCAACATGTTTTTCTTCTCCTCAGCTTTCTTTTCTTTCCCTGAATCTGTCTCATACTTGTTCTCAGTCTCCTGCCGTCTCAACAGGCCTCGAGTATTTTGCCTAGTGACAGTAGCAGTAACAGGAAAAGTCGTTTCCATATTGGGTCTCAGCTTTGTATCGATGTAAAGTGGTTTATTAAGGTCAGTTTTAACAGTGTCTCCTTTGCCTGGAATCTGCTGTGTTTGTTCTTTCATAGCTCTGTCCCTGGCAGAGAGCGCGAGGGCTAGCGGTGAGTTTGGATCTAACAGCTTTCCTGTGACCGGATGAACATAACTATCTGGGCTGGACACATTCGTGGACTTAGCTGCCACTGCACTGTTTTCAGTACCTTTCGTTTTGGACGAAGCATTTAATGTCCTTGAGTCACTCTGAGGCTCATTGCTATTAAAAAGACTTTCAGGCTCTCTAGGTGCTGGAATTGGAGATGGTGACATAAGCTGTCTGAAACCATCTTCACTACTAAACATCGCTTCTTCGGTGAATTTAGATTGCCTCATACGTGGTGTTGGTGGGGTTAGTCCAACATCCTCATCTCCCAGGTCTGTGGAAAGGAAGGCTGGAGAATTCCTCCTCGCTTCCAGCCTCTTTTCCCTGTCCCTCACTGCCCCTGCAATGGCTGCTGCAAACGGACTGCTGACACCCAAGCTGTCGTCGGGCCGGAGTTGCCCAGGTTGCTCTGAAGACTGAGGATCAATCTCCATGCTGCTCCCTTGGCTGCTTTTCCCACTGCTGCTGGTGGATGGCTCTTTCACAATTATTGTTGGGATCGGAATAGAGCAGGTCTTTTCTGGACTGTCCTCAACATTGGATTGTTTCACCAGCATTCCCTTCCGCCTCGCTGGTTTGGCCGGCACGTAAACTGCTTTGCTTGCAATCTTCCCCACCTCGGAATATGGGTTTTCTGGCATCTGACCCCTCTTGCTCCTGAAATTTGCCTGAGCTGCAGCACTCCGACTGTACAGGTCTTCTGAGTCCAGAGAGTATCGGTCCAGTTCTCGTCTGTAATAGATCCCTTTGTCCCTTATCATCGTTCCCACACTCTCAGGCCTAACCAAGGTAATTTTTGCACCTGAATTCTGATTAAAGGGAGGTTTAATAGTTCCATAGCTCCTTGTTGTCAGGGATTTGGGAGAGTTGTACAGAGAGGGAGAAGGTGGTGGTGGTGAAGGAGGTAAGGACTGTGGTGGTGGTGGGATATCTTCAGAGGTGTCAGGCATTGAAAGACTTCTGGTAAACTTCAGCATAGGAGGAGCCAGAAACTGCCGTTCTTCCTCTGTTATACCTAGAAATCAGAAAGTTCATTTAGAACACTCTTCCACTGGGATCCCTCATGCTGTATTATTTCTCTATCCAACCCAAAATTCCAGGGTGCATTTCCCACAACACGAGGCACAATGCAAAATTATAAAAGAGGTCTTTTGGTTGATTCCTACCATAAGAATTCTTTCTTGTTGAACTTCCAGAGCCTCAGATGCCAGAATTGAGAAGGATGCTACAGAATTTTAATTAAACTGATCACTGATGTGTAGGCAAATGTTTTGGGTTTATGTATCATCAAGGTAGCTGTAGAGAAGCACATTTTCTTTGAAAATTATCAAACAGGGAAGACATTCTGTGCAGAAGAGTAGCTTCTGCCTTGCTCTAGCACTCTATAACTGCATATAATACTGCAACTTGGAAGCCTAATGAATTTTTAAGATGCATTTGAAATTTCGCAAAGGGACTGTGAAGATCCTATTGGGGAAAACAATCATAATGTTTCATTTGAAAAGATGACATTAGATTATTACAAATACAGCTTTTAACATAAATAAACTGGGCAATATTGGGATAGTTTGGATGCTAATTTTACATCAGCATAATGCGTTTCTAAATTGATAAAAGTCACTACTAAGATTACTACCATGAACAAAGCAAGCCCAAATTTGGTCTGCTCTTTCTTTCTTTGTTGTAAAATCATCTATTGGCATCATTTGAAATAAAAAAAAAGGTGAATTTTAGTCCATTTGATCAACAGGATTTTTTGGTAAACTACTCAGCGTTACAATGCTTTCATCTCAATAACAAAGAAAAAGGGGTAACATTTTGCCCTAATGCTTTTCAAAAGACTTGTACTGATTTATTTTTTTTTTTTTACTTATTAGAGGGAACATTCTAAAGAAAATAATTAAATTATAATTCCATACTTGCCTACCGCCATCAAAGCAGAATGTGGAAATTACATCACCTTACAAACTTCTTTTCTCATGAACTTTGTATAAAAATGAAACAGTCACCCACTGAGGTAAAGATGTTGGAGAAATATGCTTTAAGACAGAAGCAAAGTTACTAAAAGCATGTGAATAATGCACAAGCAGACTATACATGAGAAGCATTTTACCTATAGATTTTTGTCTTCTCATTGTACCCCGAGGTATACCCAGAAAAGGACCTTGAGGACTCCCTGGTACAGTGGGCGTCATCACAGCAATACCCTGTCTCTCATACATGGACTACAAAAAAGCAAACAAAAACCCCACAAGCATTAAAGCATGAAAGTCTCTCCCACATGTAAATAACTCTTCTGTCATAGCTGCTCATCCATTATGCCTTTTACTTAGAATTGTATGGAAAAGAATAAGCTAGGTGTTATTGTCATTTTGGGGAGGAGGGAAGGGAAAGGAGAGGCTGAGCTTTATTTCCGTGCTCACAAAATGGAGCAGCTCTAAGTGGGGCTTGTTGAAATTATTTACAAGGCAATATCTTAAGTTTCCAGCACATTTTGAATGCTGTAAGAAAAATGACACATGAGCAACTGCATTTTAATTCCTTCACTTCCAAAAAACCTAACCACACAGCCCATGGGGATTGATGTTCTCTCTGCACCAAGCTGTGCACTCTCTTCACTTCTGAAGACCAGACCTGTTCTTGGAGTCTCATACAGACTCAAGCTGTCTTGTGCAAGGTTACACTGGCAGTCAGCATCTCAGCCAGGAACTGAGGAATGCCACCTGAATCCCAATGCTCCCAACTGTTCCTCCTTCTGTAGGTCATCACAAAACTATTTGTTTTCTGCCTCACAGAATAGCTTTAATTTCCTTCCACCCTAAGCTGCTGAGAACAGAAAGTGCTTGTTGCATCAGGACTGATGCTCTTTCAGAGGGGTAATGGAAAAACATATCTAAAATGCAATAAAAACAATGATTTTTTTTCACATGCAAAGTTTTGTAAGAGCAAATTCTGCAATTGAATAATCCAATTTCAGAGTTCTGGGGTTTAATTTTTAATACATGCTATAGTATTAATGTCAATTCATCCCTTACAAATCACCATGCATTATTTAACCAAGGAATTATATATGCCATTAGGAATAATAAAAACCTGTAGTAGGAGAAACCTTCACATTAGTGGGAATGGTGTGGCTGCACTAACTCTGGTGCTGAAACTGAAATAGCATACCTTGACTTTCAGCACCATTTTGCAGCTTGGGCTTAGTGTTGTATTGACACCTTCAAGTTCAGAACTCACTGGGGTCTCCCCAGCTCCAGTTCAGTAACACTGAGGGAGCAGTGCTGTTCACATGAGGGTCTCAGTATAAACACGAGGACATAATGAGAAAGGTTTTATAGGGGATATATACTCTTTTGTCCCAAAACTACTATTAGAAATGCACAAGTCGACCATGCCTTAAAACTTACAAGCAAATAAAAGTAAAAGGAGTATAGAAAGCAAAGCTTCTACATTAATTTCTGTTGTATGCCTTGCACATTGCCAAAAGACCCCTCGAACCAGTTCCAGAAATGCAAGTAGTACTTCACAGCTCCCACTCACATTCATATCTGTAGCTGAGGGAAAACATCTACTAGAAGGCCGCTGTTTTATAGTTGCCACTCTTGAGTCCACAGTTGCATTGTCTGCAATTCTTGATGGCTTGGAAACTGGTACTATTTCATCCACCTTATCTGTAATATAAAAGTATTCAGTAAAATAAATATCATTTGTCCAAAAAACCGGAAAAGTTAAGTATTGCAAGGTCAAAGGAAGAGATTTACTTTTCAAAAAAATGCAAAGAAAAAGTTTTTTTGGCATTTTAACAAGGCAACGCTTGAGCATCATAAGTCGTGCAAGCCGAGCACTTTTTATTGCTGCTACATAACATGCATGCTTTAGTTTTAAGCCTGCATGCATTTAATGTTTACTTAGTGTGACTCGAAAAACAATCCTCTTCTTCAAACCTTCAAAATGTGAAGGGAGAATATCTATATAGAAATGGAAAGAAGACCTTTAGAAATAATGAATCCGTACAGCACTGTTTCAAATAGAGATAAGCAGACTGTACTTAGTCATCAGGATGTCAGTGATATTTTGGACAATAACAAGTACTCCAGAAGTGCTCTTTTATGCCTGTTCTCCTTAAGTAATCACATCCTATTTTATTCACACTCTTGGATTTGTAGACTAGCATTACTAACTGCATCATTTGTTTCATTATTTCAATGAAACTTTTATATGCCTTCTGTATTTTAAGAACTGGACAGTTTGGGAATGTATTTAGTTGTGGTCAGAAACAGACCAAATAGGCAAAGTCCAAATCTGAATGAGAAACAGACCAAATAGGCAAAGTCCAAATCATTTGGACTTCAACATTTGGATTTGGGATTCTGATCTACCATATGATGTGATAGCAAAATATAGGGAAAACTTTAATCAGGACATTCCAAACTGAGTGCTAGTGGTAGCCCCATCTCCAACTTTGGTCACAAACAAGGTTCATCAACATTTAATACATAATGTTACTCCCTCAGACTGAAGACCTCAAAGTACCACATAGCCAACTAATTATTGCCTGACAGCTCCTTTTTTGCCACTTATACAGCTATGAAACGAAGGCACAGAGAAATTAAATCACTAGCCTAAGCCACCAGAATAGTCTGAGTTTTCAATCTGTACTAGAATCCAAACTTGAATCATACCAACAGGTTTCCTTACTACGCCTTCCATTGCATTTGGTTTCCTGTATCATGTTAATTTAGTGTCTTTTCCTTTGAAGTTTCACCAAAGTCAGGATTAGTTACACAGCCTGTGGTGTCTGTGTGAGTGGAATACCTTAGCCTGGCTCCTAGGCTTCCACAACGCGAGGCACAGCAATGATACCTTTCAGCAGTTAGATCCATCTCCCAGAAATTTATTTGCTCCAGCAAACAAGGATAGCTACTTCGTTAGGATACTATAGACTTTAAAAAAACCCAGTTTTTTTGTGGTCTAGAGATGGTGTTACTATGCCAAGTATTGGATTTACTGATTTTTTTTTACCTCTCACTGGAGAGCAGTGCACTCAGGGCCTTGGATATTGATATGGATGGGAATAAGGCAGAAAGAAAAAAGCTTTTGATCCCTCTAAACAGTAGATCTGGCTGATGCAAGAATGACATTTTAAATGGGAGAAGAAGAGAGGGAAGACCTTTTAGCCTTCTGGTTAGGAAGAAGGTTGTCCTAGAAGTGGATATTTCAGTGTCACAGAGAGTCAGGGAGCAGGCAGGAAAGGAAAGGCTGAGCAGGACCAGTAAGCTGAACATTGCTGAAAACTGTCTCACAAGAGTGGTGTTGCTGTTTCTTTTCAACTGAAGTTAGCATTCAATTCTTTTCATTGGTCTGCTTTATTTTTGTGGGTTTTAAATCATCCAGTGGAAGGAGAAAAGGAAAAAAATTCTTAAAATCATCACGTATTCAAAAATTAAACAAACTTCACGTCACATTTCATAAGTTTTTGTAATACAAACTGTCAACTTCTGAAAGAAAAATATCTGCACTTCTGCTCAGCAAAAGGCATCAGAAAGCAACGGTGTCACCATGAACATTTGACCTATACAGCAAAAATATTGCTAGACTGCAGAATTGTCCTCAGGGGATCTATCACCAAGAGCTTCAATCGGGCAGAGATTTCCTGTTAAGTCTCTCCCACTGTTTTCATCATCCCAGAAGCCAAACAACTGGTCTTTGGGATACAGAAAGAAGGAAGCTTTGGAAACTGAAGCACTAGGTACTCAAAATCTGTACATAAGAAATATAAATATACCGTGTAAGAACTGATCCCCTTTATTTTTAACAGACACATGTAACCATATACCCATTCAGACAACAAAAAGCTACAGGGCAAGAGTGATGAGGCTATGACAGACACTTGAAAAGCATGAAAATATTTGTTTGGGGATGAAACATACATACCCTCCAACTGCACTGATTTTGCTAGACAACACTAGAAGTCAGATCCTAATTTTGGATCTGACCAAAATATCAGTTGGTACCAATCCTTAATACCATCTACTATTTCCAGGTGGAAAAAAAAAACCCAACTTGGTTTTGTATAGGTTTATTGCAGGTTTTTGATTTGTAGACAGGTTCTCAGTCCTTCTCACCCTATGGCTGTTCCCATTTGAGTGGTGCTCTGTGCCTTGCTAAAGCACTTTAAATGGGAGAGGAGAGTGGGTTAAAGCTTAAGCTGCTTTGCAAGGAACTCTTTAGGGCTTCCTCGCGTGGTACTTCCAACGGCAGCACTGCTACACCTGCACAGCTTCTTCTTTTGCTCTACTGCCTTGGATCAGAAAGCAAAGGTAGACTGGAGGTTGTTGGTTTGAAACTACACCCAAAAAATGTGAAGTCATGGCATCAGCCAGCACATGGAATGAGGTTGGTCCTAAATGGCAGCAGCTATATGGCGGGTCCTGCAGGATACATCAAAACCTTAACATCTGGCCACAACTGCACCACCTTCAGAAGTGAAAGCACTGTGTAAAATAAAAACATTCTCACTCTATTACTGAATGTGCTAATTAGGCCAAGAAAATTAACTGGCTGAATTGTATTTAGCTTCATCCAAACTCATCCCAAAGAAAGAAGATGTAAGCATATTGGGACTTTACTCATCTGTGCCTCGAACTAGGCTGTTCATGTCCACAGTACCAGTGTGCAAACCACTTCTGCACCAGCACTACATGTTCCAAAGGCCACATGTACTGGAATAATTTGTCAGGCTTACTAATTGCTTTCTCTCCCAACCTCCTCGTGACCTCAAATACTCTGCAGCATGCATTTCTCACATCAGTGAGAGGGGAAGCTTACAAGCTTATGTTGGAAACTCACTGAGGATAACTTCACAAATAATTCTGACAAAAAAGAGAAAAATGCCACGAAATGGATGCAAACATTTGCACCTGGTGGGAGGTGTATCACCCGTGTGGCCAAAGAAGCCTGCCTCCAATGGCATCTGGATGTAGGGGAAAGGGAAGAAATATTTGGTAGTGGAAAAAGCCTACACTGGAGGTTGGCCATGCCAACTGCATTTCCTCCTTAAACCAGTTACTTAGCAAAGTACAGCCACAAGCACACACGCACACACACTTATACGGGAGCAATTCGTGGCTGACTGGTAGGATACCAAAATATGATCTGCTTCGTTTTGAATAACCTCAGTCTCACAGAAAGACAGGGAAGAAGAGTCTACGTCTCACTGGACAGAGAGCACCGCTCAGTTGTAATCATAGAAGAGGATTTTTAGGCCTACAGTTATTCTCTAGTATTTTTCATTCATCACTGCTTTGCCATATAAACTCTTCTGAACCTTCCCGAGAAGTCACAACGGCGTGTTGAGAGTCAAACACAGGAGCCATGCTACACCTGTGAGAACTAGTCACCACCGCTCAAGGGGCTCCTGGTAACAGCATCCTTTCGGAGGACTGTCAGGGATACCACATGGAAAAGCCAGTCTGATGCCTCTGCATGCATATAGCAATTTGAGTGCCACTATATTAAATTCCCCCGAGAGAGGTAGCACCAACAGATATAAAATAATTTATTGCAAAGTGCGTTTCCATCTGCCCTGTGGGTTACCAATGGGCCCCGTGCCCTGCTCAGGGTGCCAGCCCTCAGGAAATTAGACGGCCTAAAGGCACAGAAAGTAGTTGTGTTTTATCAAGATGTAGGTTGTCTCTGATGAAAAGCTCTTAATCACAGACAGAGTAGCACAGTACCCAACAGCATGTCATGACTTTTACGTTCTCAAGAGGTCTGGCTGCTAGGCAAGTTGCTTTTTTCTTTTTTTTCTTTTTCTTAAATAATTAATATCTGTGATAATTACTGGGGACAGTCTCCTCCTAATAGATTTGTTGCAGGAGATGGCTCTTATCCCCAGAGAACACATTGCTTAGTGACTCCTGTTTCAATTCCCCAGACTCTCTCAGAGGAAAAATTATAATGCTGCCCATCAAACCACCAGATCCATCATAAAAGGAACTTTGAAAACGAGAGTCAGGTGCCTAGATAGATCTGGTGGCACATCACTATACAGCCCCCAAAGAGAAATATGAGGTATGATCCTGGCAACATTACTTATTGTACAACATAGCCAAGACATGTGGATTAGCTCCACCGAGGGTCTTAGAAACTCAGCTGGTCAGACCCACAGAGGATAAGAATGATCATGATCCGGTACAGGCTAACCCCAACACCTCAGGCTGGCATGCCAGAAACACCAGGCAAAGACTGATCGAACACAGTTTTGGAGGCGAGTATTGCCAAGACCTGTATACTTACCACCAAGTCCCGAGTGCTTGCTCAGAGGGGATGGGATAATGGAGAAAGAAAACTCAAAAAACAGCTGCCTCAAGAAATGACTTGTATTTGTAAGAAAAGCAATGAATGCCTGGCACAGAGTAAAAAAATGCTTGTATGAAGTTAAAGTGAAAGAACAGAGGCAAATGTTCTTCAAATACCAGCAGCACACATCGTTAACAGTGCAAATATAAACTACAAAATGTTAGACTAATCTAGTCAGCCAGAATACAATGTTAGCCAATGTAGGAAATGGTTGAATTCTGCCACCGATGGCCATATGGCTAAGAATTAAAAGGACAGGCACATTAAAAAAAACTCTAAAAATCCTATGGAGTGGTTATTTTTTCTTCCC